TACGGCGGAATTTTAAAATGTCAACTAGGCCTTTTGCAAAACTTTTGATATATGTTTTTCAATTTATCATTTTGTTTCATGGGCGATTAATGCAGTCAGTCAACAAAACGTTATTTGTTATCTCTGAATTTGGTGTTTGTTACTATAGTTATTGATAGTTTAACCACCTATCACCTGACGTGTGGCGATACCACTGTCCAGAGACTTAAAGGCGAGGCCACTAACGTGTGTGTGTGTGTGTGTGTGTGTGTGTGTGTGTTGTGTGTGTGTGTGTGTGTGTGTGTGTGTTTGGTTTCCTTTTTTCAGAGTAATACGGATTACATAATACAACATGGAACCTGAAAATTGTAAAATGTTCAATTCTAACGTGCACCAGGCGATTCATTGGGGATCACTGGTCTATTGATCAAACAAGATAAAGACGAACAATTCTCCACTCTGCAATTCTTCTACATTTAAGAAACGATATTTTAATTTTTGTGAGTGTATAAAAATATAGCCCGTCCCATCGTCCTTGGGAGTCTATTTTTGTGAAGGACGGTCTGTTAAATAGGTATGTCCGTCCTTTGGTCGGAGGTAATATTCGAAAATAAAAACTTAAATTGTTGAATTTTATTGGTTTAGTCTTTGGGACTGGCTGTGTTTGTTCAGGACAGGTCACTGTTTTGAACAACCAGTCCTTGGACAGGCCACATTTATATACTATTTGTCGCAAGTGAATGATGTCTTGATACCACCCACTATCATATTTGGCAAAGCAAAAGTACTGAAGAAGACTTTTCAAAATTAGGTAAATCTTAAATTTCGCCATTGTTGATGGTGTTGTTTTCTGAATGTTGGCAAATATAAAAATCGGATAATTAATCAGGATTTTTAAAATGGCATATTAGTGATCACTGATATCTGTATTTCATCAAATCACCAATGGTGATGGAAAATACAGAAACACAAACGCCGAAGTGAGATTTCCGCCACATTGGATAGTGTTTTAAAAATCACGTTTGCAAAGACCGCTCATGAGACGACTAATATTAATTCACATATATTTCACATTCAGCTGCGACAAATGTATCCCTGAATTCCTCATACATTTGAGAATAAAATAGCAAATGGTCTTTGTCACAAATGCCAAGTGTCCAGATGACATCAAACGAAATATATTTGGTGTGAAAACAAACACTACTACTGGTAAGACCGAGCTTGTTTGAGAACAATCCAGATTTTATACTGTGTAACATGTTCTAAAATTGTCAGACATCCATTCGTCAATCGTTGTCTCGGTATTTTCTAACTTCACTTTGCTACAATATTAAAAATAAAGTAAAGAAAGACAGAAATAGCAAGACGTAAGTAGTCAGGGTGTTTCTGATTACTTACATCACAAATGATTCCTGAATCATGGGAAGGGCCCTCGCAAAATCCTGAGTACCGCTGTCAGTAAACTCGCCATTTTCTTAAAACAACTGTCATCAGTGGTGATGTCGTCTGTCAACATTGTTGTACATATTTAGCAATTTGTTCGACATGAAAGTCGGCTGAATAAGATTAAACGCAGTCATGCTATCAAAAGCTACATACAGTTTAAGTATGATAACGTATATTTACGTATCTTTCAGATATTTTTTTCGCGAAGCTTACCGTATTTCCTCTAATAAGCGCCCCCGGTGCATATTTTTTCAACGGACCTCCAGATGCGGCGCTTATTAGAGGAAATACGGTATTTCTTTATCTACATTAAACCTGCAGGAATGCCATTTAGAAGCGATAAACGTAACAGGAACGTTTTATGCTTTTCAACTTCTTTGTTATCGGGAACACAACGTTTCAGAGTATAGACTTACTCCTTTGTTAAATTAAGATACATAATCAAACTGTCTATAGGTAATTGTTTATCTATTAAGGACATTATTTTAATTGTAAGTCATTCATTTCATGTTCTGTGGAAGGAATGGCAGCCAAAACGAAGCCTTTTATAAAAAATAACGGAAAATATATGAGGTACATATGTTGATCAACGAACATACAAATGTCGGCTTTTCCGACGTCGCAAAAAGATCCATAAAGCAAATCATGGTGTCATGTTTTCAGTAATTTCTTTACATTTGAAGATGTAATTTGAACTCTGTTTAATAGTGGTGCGGAATTACTCAAAGTACATCAACGCAAACAGGGGAATATGGGAATCTAAGAACTAATGTACATATGGGACAGGACCATCCATTTCGCTGTTACACAATTTCTCATGTTGTGTTATTTCAATATTTCTTGATGCTAGCTAAACGTATTATGTCCAGCCATTATATATAGTGAATGCATAACGTTATTCATAATCACACAAATGATTTGATATATACTTATGCCATTCAGATACAACCAGACAGTATTTAGTTCCTCACACATTCAATGTAGACGAAAACAAATATAGTCGAGCAGTGCTTTTGTTAGAGACAGTTAATGTTTTTGGTGTTTTTTGTAACAAAATTTCGTAGCAGTGTTTATTTTTCAAGCAGGCTTAGTATCTACAGTCAGTATTTGAATTTATCCCATCGGATAGGATTGGTTGGTTGGTTGGTTGGTTAGTTGGATGGTGTTCAAGGCCGCTCTCACCAGTGTTCCTGCTACATGGCGGCGGTCTGTAAATACTCGAGCCTGGACCAGACAACCCAGTGATCAGCAGTATGAGCATCGATCCACGCAATTGGATACGATGGCACATGTCAACCAAGTCAGCCAGCCGGACCACCCGATCCTGTTAGTCGCCTCTTACGACCAGCATGGGTTACCGATGACCAATTCTACCCCGGATCTTCACGGATACATCAGAGAGGGACCTTAATTAGATATTCTACATTACTGTGCAGGTGTCTTGCCTAAGGTAGATTTAGGGCCGCGCCAACTCGATTTTCGCATAGCGTTCACTTTTCAGACTTGTGTGTCCCCCCAAAAAACAAAAACTCGGCATCCAGGGGGTTAATATCAGCAACACTATTTGAACTGGTGACAAAGACCATCAGTCATTTGATTTAAAAATGTATGAGGAATTCAGGGGACGTGTGTGTTGCAGCTGAGTGTTAAATATATGTGATGTAATAGGCGTCTCATGACCAGCTCTCTCTTTATATATAAACATAAGTCTGTAAACACTCTAAAATATGACGGAAAGCTCTCACTTCAGCGTTTGATCTAAACGATTTCAGGGTAAAGGCGGTTTTCCAGAATAATCACTGGCGATTTGATAAAAAAACACATACCAATAAAGACTAATAGACTATTTTTCAGTTCAGTTCAACGGGTAATTATCCCATATTTACATTTGCATCATATAATACAGTAATCGATGCCGCGAATGGAAATATTTGTCTTCCTGGCATCCATTGGGTTAATACAGCCGAGATGATTTGAGTGATGATTGTTTTAAGTTTATATTTTGTATATTGTGTGTATAGTCACTGAAGAAAGTGACATCAAAAGGGTTAAAATCCAGCAGTAATCAGCTACAGATGTCCATTCTTCCTTTGTTGAACGATACCGACACATGGTATTTGACAAATACTGCTTGTGTTGCATGGCACGATGCCAGCATTGCGCCGCTCTATGTCCTATCTGGCTGAGAAGACGGCCGGGCACCTCAGTGTATATCTGTGACGTCACCAGCAGTGTGACGTCACTGTCACTGTAAAAATGGCGCCATGTCAGCTGGGTCAGTCTGAGGTCACAGAGTGCAGCGACATGTAAACAAACAGTTTGTTGTTGTCGGTTTCACAATTTGTGATATTCTCGGAACAAAATTAACACAGAATAATGTTAAGACAAGCGACGTTTACGTACAATCACTCACCGTTTATGTTTACACTCACTTCACAATTTTCTTACCTGATCACGCGAGGTTCCAAACACAACAAATGACAAAATGTCTGAAAATACTTTCAACAAGTTTTATTTATATTCAAAACGAAAAAAAGGTAATCACTTGAATCGTGGCACATGACAACGTGAACGGCACACACCTCGTCAGTGTCAGTAACGACATGTGCACCGTCACTGTCCACACCAACACCGACTTCAGTGTCCACCACGTGACATCAGGTACTCCACCACTCGCTGATGTCTCCAGAGTCTCGCCATGCCGACCGCTGTCCGCCCGCGGTTGTCCCTGGCGTTGACGTCCAGCACGTTCTGTGACAGGATCAGCTTCACGATCTTCAGGTCTCCACCATAACAGGCCAAGTGAAGGACGTTCCAACCGTTACTGTCCACCAGCGACACATCAGCCCCTCTACCCACCAGGAACTCCACCACATCGCTGTGTCCTTTATATGCTGCCGCCATCACCGGTCCTTCCTGCGCTGTCTCTCCTCTCGTCGTGTTGATGTCCACGTGACCCGCTGCCAGGATCCGCTTCACTCTCCAGGTCACCGTCCTCGCTGGCGGAGTAGAGGCGGCGGCCTGCTGCTGGTGATGGAGTCGCTGCAACACAAAGTAAACTGTGTACATCAGACATCTTCGTCACACATCTACAATGTTTTCATCATGTGATACGTGACTGGGACATTGCTACATCGTTTAAACAATTCCATCATGGCTGACAACAATACAACATGGCGGGAATGTCAACATGTGGTTTCTGGAATTATGGATGGTGTGTTTAGTACAGAACTTTCTGTTAGAGCCAGAAGTTGTAGCAATAGTTGTGTACGACTGGAGAGTGTTGATGTTTGTTGAACATTGATAATGTCAGTACAACTGTTGTTTGGTTTTTCTGGGGTCATAAGATATAACGTTGGTTTATGTCACAGTGTTTTGTTTGTTGTTTACCGCCACACTCAGCAGTATTCCAGCTGTCTGATGGCGACCTCAGCATAAATACCCGGTTCATGATTGTCGATCGATACCATAGGCGAGACTCATCTCAGAATCTCCACAGGTATATGCATCAGCGTGTTAAATACAGGAAGAATTAAGGACTTATAGCTTCCGGCCTGCTGGATTCTCCCACTTACCCGATAGATCAGAGTCTTGTGTCGTCTCTGGCGCTGGTGGAACGGTCTTGGTCGGGCTCGGATCAGTCGAGGCTGAAACAGGGAATATTTTATTCAGAAAACTATACATACATTATAACTACTGGCCTCAGTTTTCGCCTTTCCACATACGTTGTGCCTCTCAATATTATGTATGATTAAATTCTAAATACATTTCTTATGGAAGACGTATTAAATATATATGGTTTAATTTGACTGAAATAACTCTTCATCGAGACCACGTGTCTATGCAGGAAAAGAGTAACCCTTCCTAAATTTAGATTTTACAGTTTGAAATCCTGTGATTGACAACATGAACGTCGACCGATACCATAGGTGAGACCCATCCCTCAAGTCAGAATCTCAACGGGTATATATCAGTCTGTTAAATGCAGGAAGAATTAAGGACTGAGCTTCATCCCACCTACCCGGTAGATCAGAGTCTTGGGTCGTCATTGGCACTGGTGGAACCGTCTTGCTCGGGCTCGGGTCAGTCGAGGCTGAAACAGTGAATATGTTGATCAGAAAACTGTACACAGCACATAAGCATTTCTACTACTGGCCTCAGTTTTCACCTTTCCACATGTTTTGCCTTTCAATATTATGAATGGATAAATTCCAAATACATCTGTTATAGCAGAGGTATCAAATATATATGGTTTGATTTGATTGAGATACCTGTTCATCAAGACCGCGTATCTCTGCAGGAAAAATCCCCAGAACACTTCCTAAAGTTATTATTACAGTATTAATCTGAAAATGTAATAAGCTGTACAATGACTGTGCTAACAGCTGAGATGCTCCTCTTGGTTGAAATGCTGTAAGTGAATAGATTGTTATTTTGTTTTGAAATATAAACATGAACGGTGTAACTAAAGAATCTGTTCGCCTACAGGGTTAGGGTTAGGTTAGAAGCGAGTATATTCTACGGGGACTTCAAACTTCATGAATTACATGATTATTCACATTATTACACTGAAAGAAAAAAAATAGATAAACAAACAAAATCATCTGCACTTATACCTACTCATAATTCCCCCTTATGGAATGACCTGTTTGGTTTGAATTCATTAACCGTGACTGGAATTCAAAAATGCCTTTCCTTGATGTCCCCACTCCACGTTCCCTGTTTAATGTACATGTTATTTTAGTCAATTCCGTAAAATCTAATGTGAAGCAGATTACACCTCAGTGTTTATCACGCAGTGTGAAGGGCAGCATGGTTACTTTACTCGGTGTTTTTGCAACACAGTTGTAATTTGTGTCAGGCAAACTCTGTGAAACACTCACAAAATGTCAGCATACCGAGCGACGGCGGAAGTGTAATTCTCACACTACTATCTGAGGCGGAAACTGTAGCTGACACAGCCGTACTTGTTGTTGGAAGCATTGTGCTTTGATAAACAACAAGGGTACAGACACGTGGCAGTGTGTGGTGGTAAAGATCGAAATGTCGGCTGACCGAGTGATTGACATTCCGTCTGTTTCAGTGTTAGAAATAACAAGAATATGCCCTTCCATAATCTACGGTAGATAGCCATAAGTGAGTCATCATTAGTGAAAGAATAATGCAAGAATAATTTTCATCAGTTTAGTTTCGGTCGAATTGCTTTCAATACTTAGATCTAACTTCCAGCTGGAAAATCATTTCCGCTACATGCACATAATTTCCATTAAATTTTCCAGTGATTATTACGAAAACTGCAACTATTTACACGACATATATTAGACATACCAATCAGGTTTAACATGGCTGTCCATGGGATAGATTAAAATTATGTTGTATTTATGGTGTATAATCAGGTGTCAATCGATAACTAATCAACGGAAAGATGAAAGAATATTATGTTTGCAAAATGTCAAAATAAAATGACTTCTACTGAATTTATGAAAATTATATTTGCAACAGTTAATTAACATGTAAGTCTATGGAAATTTCACTAATGATGACTCACTTATGGCCAGCTGCTGTACATTCCATGGCATATTCTTGAAGTGTTACAGAAATACATGTGTTCCACATTATGGTTTCAGTGTTAAAAGAGCAAGCTACAAGCCTTCACCATTATGCTGATACTTTGGGTCGCGTGATGGGGTATGTATTTCAATGCAATGAAGGTATTTATTGACGCAGAACAAAAGATATGCACATGACACACATCCGTTACTTGACTGAACAGATTTTTAATAATTTCAGAAAATCTTCCGTGACAGTTGTAAATGTTATCAGTTCAAAGGATGAAACTTACAAGCACATAATTTGATCAAATATAACAAAATGTAATCCCAAATATAACATATGTTACAAATATAACAAGCCTATCAGTGAAACCGTGCGTTATTTATACAGACGTTCCTTCATCCCCGCCCGGTGACAGGCTAAACAAACGTTTGGGTGTACACATTGTGTAAAAGCAAGCACTTGGTTCCTAGAACATTAATACTGCTTTACAGCAGTTGTATACAATATACATTTACACTAGTTCATCAATTCCTAAACCAGTTTAAAAGCAGAAACTGAGAACTTACCCACCAATCACGTCCTAAAACGAGCGACACATCTCACTGCTAGTTATGAAATGCCTTGACTGGCGATACCACGACCGCAAAGCTGCCAACTATGACGTCACTATGACGTGTCTGGTTAGGAGAATGTCAACGTTTGGCGCTCGACTGCTTACTGACCAACAATTCTGTATGGAAATATGTCTATCCGAGTCATGTTTGCCCTCCGGTTTTATCCGATGAAAGCAACATATTACAACATATACTACTTAAAACCACTCACTATATATATGAATATATATATGGTTACGTCGAAGATGAATTTCTCCACTAACTTGGGGTAACAACTACACAATTTATGCAGATGAATCGCACCATATCATGCATCAAATTGCTGAAAAGCATGTACAAATATCGTGCATGTGTACAGCTGCGTTTTGGTGAAAGGTTTTGTTAAGAATTCGCCAATTTTCACCGAGTTTCATCATTTATTGAACTCGTGACAATAATCTTTTCTACGTTACGAATTCGTTTTACGATACACCAGTACAGGTGTAAACAGCACCTTATGGAATATCTTGTAAAATCTAGTTCAGAACAGTTGACTGAGATAAGTGACTACATTTACACTAGTGAGTCTAAACTTTTGATGGGTAGTATATATTCCTAATTAATCATTCTTTGTGCTACCTATGGTATGGCATGGACAACAATTGCATCTCGTAGAATTTACGTATCACAACATATGTCATAGACATATTGGATACTTCCCTAAGTCACCGATTGTTGGTGTCACAAAACTCGTAATACGTGTTCACAAAAATATAATGTGTTGGACAGGTCTGACATGAAGGCTCTGTGGCATGACGAAACCAGTTTGAGTCTCATCAGGTGTCCATTGTAAAGTTCACCCAGAAGAGGTTCAGAAATATTTCAGCAGAGTTGAAATACAAACTTCAAATGCAGTACAATTATAACGGCATCGTAAAATATAAGGAAATTCGTAACAGACATAATGTCAGCGATAATAATATTTAGCTTGCAGCAACCGTGGTCAAGCTAGACCGAGGTTAGACATCCAGGGGGTAAACGTAATGATCTTCACACACCAGCTGATCTTGATGTAATGTAAGATGAGATCTGCAGCGCTTGCCCCACATATATAACCTCATTGCTGGAGCTGTACATGGGTATATAATAAGATGAGATCTGCAGCGCTTGCCCCACATATATAGCCTCATTGCTGGAGCTGTACATGGGTATATAATAAGATGAGATCTGCAGCGCTTGCCCCACATATATAGCCTCATTACTGGAGGTGTACATGGGTATATAATAAGATGAGATCTGCAGCTTGCCCCACATATATAGCCTCATTGCTGGAGCTGTACATGGGTATATATAATAAGATGAGATCTGCAGCGCTTGCCCACATATATAGCCTCATTGCTGGAGCTGTACATGGGTATATAATAAGATGAGATCTGCAGCGCTTGCCCCACATATATAGCCCCACATATATAGCCTCATTACTGGAGGTGTACATGGGTATATAATAAGATGAGATCTGCAGCAGCGCTTGCCCCACATATATAGCCTCATTACTGGAGGTGTACATGGGTATATAATAAGATGAGATATGCAGCGTTTGCCCATTGCCGGAGGTGTACATATAGCCTCATTACTGGAGGTGTACATGGGTATATAATAAGATGAGATCTGCAGCGCTTGCCCCATATATAGCCTCATTACTGGAGGTGTACATGGGTATATAATAAGATGAGATCTGCAGCGCTTGCCGCACATATATAGCCTCATTGCTGGAGTTGTACATGGGTATATACTAAGATGAGATCTGCAGCGCTTGCCCCACATATATAGCCTCATTGCTGGAGTTGTACATGGGTATATACTAAGATGAGATCTGCAGCGCTTGCCCCATGGGTATATGCTAAGATGAGATCATATATAGCCTCATTACTGGACTTGTACATGGGTATATAATAAGATGAGATGTGCAGCGCTTACCCCACATATATAGCCTCATTACTGGACTTGTACATGGGTATATGATAAGATGAGATATGCAGCGCTTGCCCCACATATGTAGCCTCATTACTGGAGCTGTACATGGGGTGAAGGGGCGACCATGGGAAGTGTGACGATTACATTGTAATGGTGGTCCAGCCTGACGAAATAAGTTCGAGTCCTGGGTGGTTGGTCAATGGCGGGGTGACTCTAAGTATAAATGTTCGAGTTGCATAAGATTATGGTTCCGACTGCCTCTATTGAAAAGGGGCGGGGTCGTGGGATGTACAGTATACCCTGGTTATAATGCCACCGTTTGTCCAGGAGAGAATATGGCATTTTATCCAGGGTGGCATTATAACCAGGTAGGACAGTTAGAGGACCTGTGCAATCAACAAGGTGACAGAGCTGATTCTCCTGTAATGAGCCTTGAATGTCTGGATAATGCCAGCGTCTGGGGGACTGCAGGTGACTTGTTTTTGTAGGTGCCAGGAAGTTTATTGTCACATGTGTTATCCTATCAGGGATTACATGACTAACCGGGGGCATTATAACCAGGGTGGCATTATAACCAGGGGGGCATTATAACCAGGGTGCATTATAACCAGGGTGGCATTATAACCAGGGTGGCATTATAACCGGGGTATTATATAGGAAGGAAATCCGTTCTGGCAAAAACATGACATTATATCCAGAGTGGCATTATAACCGGGGGCATTATAACCAGGGGCATTATAACCAGGGTGCATTATAACCAGGGTATTATAACCAGGGTGCCATTATAACCGGGGGCATTATAACCAGGGTGGCATTATAACCGGGGGCATTATAACCAGGGTGCCATTATAACCGGGGGCATTATAACCAGGGTGCACTGTATTTTAACTGTTGGGCTAAACTGATAACAATGACGCATAGATGTTTATGATCGTAACTTATATGCTTTGTGTTTCCAATATTGGTCGTCAGTTATTCCTCTTGCAAGAGTGTTTAGTTAACTGATTTAGTTCTGAACGTACAGATTTGCTACTTACGAATCTATACCGAATATGATCTTGATAACTGGAAACACAAAGTTGATACGTTCCACATTGGGACAACGAGCAAAAACGTGACAAATGTCCCGCATGGGAACCAGGGGCACAAGAAGTCACAAATGTCCCGCATGGGAACCAGGGGCACAGGAAGTGACAAATGTCCCGCATGGTAACCAGGGGCACAAGAAGTCACAAATGTCCCACACGGTGACCACTGTCCGTGTACCCTGTGACAGTCATGTGTTTCTTAGCCTCTCAAACAGGCATCATACATATTGTGATATAATATTGCAGACACTTAACATCTAGTTTTTAGCATCATTGTTTCATAGTTGATTTGGGGTATCATATAACAAGGTACAGTCCGGGCCCTCCACAGTTTCTGACGATGATGCACGTTGTCGATAACTGTTCTATGTTAGGTCTGCAAGATCCTGTTCATTCAGCAGAGAATCGCCTGTCTGTCGACTGCCCCGCCGTGTATGTCGACTGTCTCCCGTTGTGTTGACTGCCCACCACTGTCTGTCAACTGTTTCATATTGTCTGTCAACTGTCCCGCACTGTCTGTCAACTGTCTCCTACTGTCTGTCGACTGTCTCCCACTGTCTGACGACTGTCTACTACTGTATGTCGACTGTCCACCACTGTCTGTCTGTCCAGCAGTGTCTGTCGACTGTCTACCACTGTCTGTCGACTGTCCACCACTGTATGTCGACTGTCTCCCACTGTCTGTCGACTGTCCTGCAGTGTCCACCACTGTCTGTCTGTCCCGCAGTGTCTGTCGACTGTCCCGCAGTGTCTGTCGACTGTCTGCCGCTGTGTCGACTGTCCACCACTGTCTGTCAACTGTCTCCTATTGTCTGTCAACTGTCCCGCACTGTCTGTCAACTGTCTCCTACTGTCTGTCGACTGTCTCCCACTGTCTGTCGACTGTCCCGCACTGTCTGTCAACTGTCTCCTACTGTCTGTCGACTGTCTCCCACTGTATGTCGACTGTCTCCCACTGTATGTCGACCACTGTCTGTCCACTGTCTCCTATTGTCTGTCGACTGTCCTGCACTGTATGAAAACTGTCTCCTATTGTCTGTCGACTGTCCCGCACTGTCTGTCAACTGTCTCCTACTGTCTGTCGACCGCCCGTGTGCCCTAAGCCATCTGTCGTTGATTTCACTGCCCCGAAGCAATTCCTTAGGTATATTGAGTACTCAAGTACCGGTCTTCACAGGGCTTAGGTACATTGTGTCTGTCTGTGCCAGTTTGTAGTCTGTCTGATGTCTGAACGGTCTGTATGTGATTTAAACAATATTCATTCATTATTAAATGAACGGATTGGTAAACAGGCTATAAGCCTATAAAAATACCTCTCCGAATACAATGCGATGGGAAACATTTTATATACATTCATGAGTGTCGACTGTCTCCCACTGTCTGTCGACTGTCCTGCAGTGTCCACCACTGTCTGTCTGTCCCGCAGTGTCTGTCGACTGTCCCGCAGTGTCTGTCGACTGTCTGCCGCTGTGTCGACTGTCCACCACTGTCTGTCAACTGTCTCCTATTGTCTGTCAACTGTCCCGCACTGTCTGTCAACTGTCTCCTACTGTCTGTCGACTGTCTCCCACTGTCTGTCGACTGTCCCGCACTGTCTGTCAACTGTCTCCTACTGTCTGTCGACTGTCTCCCACTGTATGTCGACTGTCTCCCACTGTATGTCGACCACTGTCTGTCCACTGTCTCCTATTGTCTGTCGACTGTCCTGCACTGTATGACAACTGTCTCCTATTGTCTGTCGACTGTCCCGCACTGTCTGTCAACTGTCTCCTACTGTCTGTCGACCGCCCGTGTGCCCTAAGCCATCTGTCGTTGATTTCACTGCCCCGAAGCAATTCCTTAGGTATATTGAGTACTCAAGTACCGGTCTTCACAGGGCTTAGGTACATTGTGTCTGTCTGTGCCAGTTTGTAGTCTGTCTGATGTCTGAACGGTCTGTATGTGATTTAAACAATATTCATTCATTATTAAATGAACGGATTGGTAAACAGGCTATAAGCCTATAAAAATACCTCTCCGAATACAATGCGATGGGAAACATTTTATATACATTCATGAGTACAGACAAGAGAACACACTATTAAAGGAGTAAAAGACTTAATGAAAAAGACATTATATAATTAATCAATTAGGTAAAAAATCGTTCTGTTATGGTAAAATAGTCACGTACAGATTTTACAATATTTTCATTGATTTCGTCGGAATATGAGTAACTTCCACATAGTACAGATTGAATATTAAAACCATTTATGTAATAGAAACACTTCGATCGAATTATATTAAAATTTGGACAGATCAATAGAAAATGAATGGCACGGTCTGTATGTAACGTTTTATCAGGTTACATACAGCAACACGCGCGGCAACTGAAATTTCTCTCTCTGTCCCGTATACAAAATAGGTACAAAAGACAAACGGAAACCTCTTAATCACATGTCGAAATGTATTGCACGCCCTATGTTGGCATTACCTGCCAACTCAACGGTTGTCCCTATTTTGGCACGCCCAATTAACTCTATGCAGGACATGCATATGGCAGTTTAACACTGTCATATTCGGAAATGAAACGTTTCCAAAATAAAACACAGAAAGTTTACCTCCGACAAAAGCAGAAGACACACACTTAGTACGGATACAGTATGACTGTAAACTTTCAGTTCAAACAAATAATAATGTTATTCTCATATCTTCCGGTTGGAATTTCAAGATAAGAGACTAATCTTTACTGAAAGACTCACCTGCTGTAGTTCCAGGATACGTCGTGTTCGAAGTCGTGTTAACATCACTTTCTTTTATCTCTTGCTTCGCCCCACAACAATTCTTATTCAGTGCCATCAAGTCGTCCGTAAGACCAGTGATTTGTTGCTTTGTTTCAAAAAGATCATCATTGGTCTGATTCAATTCAGATTTCAGCATCCTTGCATCACCCAAGTCAGCTACAGTCAGATTGAACTGCCGTTGCAATGCGCGGATGTCTTTGGTCAACCTGCCTCGCAGTCTTGTTAGACTCTTTCTATAAGTGTTTCTTTCCCTTTCAGCATGTCTCAACTCTTGCGTTACTGCAATTAGTTGAGACTTCGTGTTATGCAAATTGGCTTTGAGGATGTGAACTTCATCGAGGACTTGTGCACTTATAATATTGCCAATATAGTCTTCGTTAAGAATTTCGGTAATTGCTTGTTTGACGAGAGGCGTTATCAATGGAGGGAGGAATGTTCTAGTCAGTTCTTCTTTCAGTGACGACTTCAACACCTTAAATTTGTTGATCAGTTTAGCGTCAGTCGTAACAGCTGTGAGCTTCCAAGCATTAATCTCTCCTTCGACCAGACTAACTCGTGTAGCCAAATCTGCCAAACTGGCATCAACAAATACCCCTCTGATACCGCTCAACAGCAGACTGTAGAATACAACTGTTGATAGCTCCATTGTTCAAGTCAACTGTGTAGCAGCTAGGAAGACGACTGCCTCGCCGCCGGGTAAACGGCGTTAATATTGCCCTACTCAAGTGTTTGGCAGAATGCCAGCTCGGGGAAATACATGCTCAACCAGTAGTGAGCGTACACGTGCTGTCATAACAACATAAGCGATTAGGTGCCTGACTCTGTGAGTGCCGGATGAAACTCAACCCAACAAAATGGTACATGTTCCTGTAGTTGAACCCCAGAATAGAACACCTCCTACTTTTATTGTCTAATACACAACAGGGTCCTTTATGTATTACTGTCCAGGATATATGTCGTGCATTCATTACAGGGGGCGGTAGGGTAGCCCAATGGTTGAAGCTTCTCGTCACGCTAAAGACCCAGGCTCCATTCCCCTCATGGTTACAATGTTTACAACCCACTTTTTCCTTCCCCTGTCGTGATATTGCTTGAATATTGCTAAAAGTGGCGTAAAACCATGCTCACTCACTCACTCACTCACACTGCAGGTTATATATGCCACGTGTTACTGTACAGGATTTATGGTATCATCTTAGGTTAGAGTACACATGTTTTGTATTACATTACAGTGTACCTGTTGTCTGTTATATCATAGTACATATGCAAAGTGAATGTAATCATTGTTCAGGTATCAGGAGCTCTTCAACACTAAAAGATGATGAAGTAAAGCAACGGCTTGCTTACAAACGACGTTCTAAGCACCATGGTATGTTGACTCCTGGAATGGTGAAGATGTTGTCCAACCCAGCTTGGTCATCAAAATACAGCATCATCTCTGGGGATGCTATGTACAGCATGGAAATACTCGCACCGGAGCCATTGTGGACGCCGGAATATAACAAGTCAATGAGAACTGGGAGAACTGTACACCAGCTGTTTGACGGAACACAACAATGAAACTTATTTGGGTACGTTTGACCAAAATGGGCATTCGCAATTTGCAAGAAATCCATCACGCTACCATACCTATATAGCGACATTCTGAGTCTTAATTATTCCCTGACCATAAACCTAAATTTCCCTGACTAAAACCCCATATTCCCTGACTATTCCCTGAGAAAAGCAGAAACTCTCTGACTTTTTCCCTGACCTGTGGGAGCCAAGATGTGACGGCAAATCAATTGTTCAGTCGAAGAAACTGAACATCGGGAACTTCTGAGACAAGTCAAAAGAGGAGATTGCATCAGACTGCATTTTTGTCACTGATCCGTCAGATTTTGGCATGTTTTCCAGTGACCAACAATACACCTTTCTGAATGCTTTGCTGGGGGCTTTAATGATCTAACAACTTCTGAGCAGGACCGGTATGGTGCTCTTTGAAATCGTGGTGAATAGCTGTGAAATGTAAAATGAAAATGCTGTGGCTTTTGGAGTATCCGTAAAGTGGATCACACTTGGCAAGAATACAGCTAGGTTTTATCAGACTGGCATCAGAATGCATGTATGACGTAGTTGTTCCTGTCAGAATGCCAAGACACTTGGAATGGATTCTGCAAGAATAGTAACGCTGTATGCGAAGATACATAAAGCAATGAAACGACTAAAACATTCAGCACATTACCGTTTCCAACTTATACATTTAAATATTTTCAAATATATTTTCGAACACCAAAATCTATAATACTACAAATAATTATTGTATATGCATGAGATCAAGGCGTCTTCTCACATCATAGTACATATACACTGGCCTACAATTCCCTTGGTACCCGTGAAGATCCGAATAGAACTGATGTTCAGTAACCCATGCCAGGCGACTAACGGGATCGGGTGGTCAGGCTGGCTGACTTGGTTGACACATGTCATCGGTTCAAAATTGCGTGGATCGGTGCTCTTGCTGTTTATCACTGGATTGTGTGGTCCGGACTCGATTATTTACAGACCGCCGCCATAAAGCTGTAATATTGCTGAGTGCGGCGTAAAACAAAACTCACTCACGCCCTTGTACGCTATATACACTGTGCATTATGATTCCGTAGTGTAAAGCTACTGCTGTTGAAGAAAAAGTAACTTGATAGTGCTAGGTGAAGGAATATTATTGGTTCATTTCAGACCTTTTTATTTCTGACATCAGAATTCGCAGGTATTTCATGCTTTTGTCTATTTCATAACTTGGAGTTCACCGTCAATATCTATCCAAGATAATTCTGATCTGTGTGCAGTTCAGGGGATCACTTCTGGAATCCAGTAAAGCTTAATTTATATTATACGTTAATGAGTGCATTATATTCATGCTTAGATCATCCCAGATGAAATACAGTCAACCTGTGGTAAAACAACCCAGGCCTGGGATCTCTTCAGTTTTGTTAATGGGCCACATGTTAGTGCCTACTCAGTAAAGATAAATAAATCAGCTTGTGGTTCTGGTGGGAAATGTCTCATGGTAAAGTTGGTTGACTATGCGGGCGCTTAATTGTGCAATTCTTAGCTAGCTAACATGTGAAGCAAGACCATTTGCCACCTAGCGAAGAGCTAAATTCATGTGTTAATTCACCAGTTTGATCATCTATCTACATAGTTATTGTTAATGGTAAAGATGCAAGCGATGCCTCTGAAGCAGCATCCCTACTGTATATGCTCATATAAGACTGCACCTGTCCACAATACCACGGTAGGCTACCCCGCCGTCCCACGGGGACAGTTTATAAAGAGAAATGGCTTGTTCCCATTTTGCCTACATCCCATTTCGCCTACACCCTTATCAAAACAAATTTACACTTGAGTGAACATAGGATTTGTATGCTGTTCACTGTACTTTAATGGACTAACCCAAATAATGAGAAACAAACTTGTGAGTCGGGTTGAATTGGTCTGACCATTTTAATAGTATATATATATATATTATATAAATATCTCAAGTATATATAAAAAAATATACATGTAATCATAAACTTGAACATATAAAGTTATATCAAATCACATAAGCACAAATATATCAAGTCACTGAAAATATCAAGTTTATATCATTGTTCTCAACAAACCTAATGTATTTGCAGTTGAATTAAATGTCCAGCTGCGTCCAGAAACTGCAACATTGTCTTTCTTCCAGTTGCTAACTGGTCCTTCAAGCGAGTCAGTCTAGCGTCCAGTTCCTTGTACTTGAGAGGACGTGAGCGGACTCCAGCACCATGGTCTATCTGCAAGCGAAGTCGTCGGTCAGCTGACTCAATCTTCTTGATTTCCTTGACAAAATCCTAAAGGTTAGGATGGGGCTTCTTCAACGTCTTCTTTAGTCCCTGATGGAAGCCTTCCAAGTGGTTGTTAGTTCTCGGGCCAATAGTTTCATGTTGGTTCCATATCTCTCTTGGAAAGCGTGCGTCGTAGTCCACCCAGTTGGCAACAGGGTACATTTTCTCGTCCACCATACAATGCACAATGTAAACCTGCGCCCACAAACTGGGACATGTGAAGAAAGTACCATCCATGTACAGGGTCTCTGCCTCACTCAGAATATCTAGCATATCAGTTGTAGCAAATACGAGCAGCTTGTCAACACCGTTGTCGATGCACAGGAACTGGTCGCCATTTAGGGTCTGAGTCCAAGGTTCTTGCAGATCAACCTCAGCTCGAGACTGGGGAAGAGGTGGAATATACTTGCTTCGCTGTCGATACAGTCCGGACTTCAATCTGTTGAAGGATGGTATGGTTGCTGCGTTCACGTCTTCAGCTGCATTCAGCTCATCATCGTAGATCTGCTGAACTGGAGTGATGTCGGTCTGCACACGTTAAAAAACCCAACAAATCTTATTCCCATTAATCCCATTCCCTGAATGAGGGCTGGATGAGTTGCCATCCTCAATTACTGTAGGTGAAATGGGATGTAGGCGAAATGGGATGTAGGTGAAATGGGATGTAGGTGAAATGGGAACATCCCAGAGAAATGTAAGCGGAAATGAGTATTAAGAGTATATATCATGATGGGGAGTATATATCAGGGGAAATGTGTATAAGGTAATCTATCTGGGGAAATGTCCATCTCTCACTCAATTCTTTAACGCTGACTTAAAAAATTACACAGTGACTTAGAACAGTATTACTCACAAACGTTTTTAACTCTGCTTACTCACTTGCTTAAACAGATTACATTACTCACTCACTCACTTCGTTAACGCTGCATTATACATTTACTTATAACAGGATTGCTCACAAACGTTTTAACACTGCCTTACTTGCTTAAACAGACTGAATCACTCACTCATCTAACGTTGCATTATACATTTACTTAAAACAGTATTACTCACACACGTTTTAACACTGCCTTACTTGCTTAAACAGATTGACTCACTCACTCATTCATCTAATGTTGCATTATACATTGACTTAAAACAGTATTACTCACAAACGTTTTAACACTGCCTTACTTGCTTAAACAGATTGACTCACTCACTCACTCATCTAATGTTGCATTATACATTGACTTAAAACAGTATTACTCACAAACGTTTTAACACTGCCTTACTTGCTTAAACTCATTGAATCACTCACTCACTCATTGACTTAAAACGTATTTACTTACTCCACATTATTACACCATTCTTTCACGCTGCATAATTTAGTTGAAATACTGCATTGCTCACTAACATTTAAGGCAGCATTCTTCACTTACTTAAGGCTAAGCCGATGCTAAATAAATCATTATTAAGAAAGTTAAAACAGTGTCACCACTCACTTACTCAGCGCTGTACTTCCCACTTTATGAAAATTCTTTCACCTCTTCAACGCTTCATTGCTCACTTACGTAAAACACAGTATAACGCACTTACATGAACCAGTATCTTTACTTCATGCTGCGTTTATTTTTACTTCACGTTGCGTTTCTCTCACAAAAACATTGCTCACTTAAATTAAGGTATCACTTATCACCAGCCGTCGCACAGTATCACTCCCTCGCTTCTTTAACACTTGATTACTCAGTAACATTAATCAGCAGCCGTCGCACAGTATCACTCACTCACTTCTTTAACACTGGATTACTCAGTAACATTAATCAGCAGCCGTCGCACAGTATCACTCACTT